GCCACGGTAGCCACATGCGCACCAGAGCCAATCACTGCAGAGCCCAAACATCCTGGAAAGTGAAAGTAAACTGATGTCTCGGTTCAGAGGGCTGGCGGTCGCGGTGATTTTTGATTTTTGATCACAGACACTTGGTGAGTTTTTCGCCGGTGACAGACGCTGTTTTTTGGGCAGAAATATGACGAAGAGTCGCTAGGACAGGCGGGAGGACAGACAGGAGGACAGACGCTTCTCCACGTACAGCTGTGGTATTTTTTTTTCCTCATGTAAGTTGCCAAAGACAGTTACAGTTACTACGTTACTGTTGTTTGGTCCTGTAACGTTGCTTTGTGGGACATTTCTCTTTATTAAGTTGAGTGAGAGACCTGTGCAGTTATCAGACTGTCTGACCGACACGCCCTCACTCCATGCGGTCGGCTTATCCGTTCACACTGTAGGCGGTTCAAAAATAATGCGTCCCTGATACTACCTCCAGAGGAGGATCAGGGACGGAGCGACATTTCCCCCCTCGCCGCATCTGAAACTTTCACACAGAGGAGGGTGCGGATAATTGGCGCTGGATCTCTCTCTCTCTCTCTCTCTTATTACAGGACTAAATAATATGTCCTAAATGTATAGTCTGGGAGTCCTGCATGTGTTTTTTGGCAAACTCTATGCGGGCTTTCATATGTCTTGCACTGAGGAGAGGCTTCCGTCGGGCCACTCTGCCATAAAGCCCCGACTGGTGCAGGGCTGCAGTGATAGTTGACTTTGTGGAACTTTCTCCCATCTCCCTACTGCATCTCTGGAGCTCAGCCACATGATCTTTGGGTTCTTCTTTACCTCTCTCACCAAGGCTCTTCTCCCACGATTGCTCAGTTTGGCTGGACGGCCAAGTCTAGGGAAGAGTTCTGGTCGTCCCAAACTTCTTCCATTTAAGGATTATGGAGGCCACTGTGCTCTTAGGAACCTTGAGTGCTGCAGAAATTCTTGATGCAGCAAACCAGGTTTGACATGCTGGAGCGGGAGCTGTCCGGGATGCGGCAAAGTATTAATGCCCGTCTTGACCGGGTGGCGATGTTGCTGCTGCCTCTCAGGCGCATCCCCTCAAGTCTGCGCCCTTAAAATAGCATCGGAATAAGTGCCACTGACTTTAGACCCGAGGGGTATTGCACAAAACCAGGATAAGGGATTAAGCCGGGATATGTTGGTTATCCTGGCTTAATTTAGCCTCAAGTCGGTTGCATGAAAGCCGGTTAAACTTATCCCGGCCAAGTTACTATGGTGATTTATTCTCTGCAGTTAGCCTGCTCCAGACCAGGCTAACAGCCAGGCTAAGATTAATCCTAGTGATTCACCTGTATTTCCACCGTCAATCCTGTGAGGAATTAATGTGTTTTACAGCATGTCCATGGTCTTTCTAAGTATGTTGCATCATTTTAATTATCCTGCATTAAAATATTACATACATATTGTCATTTCTCATTTCATTTAAATCTGTTGGCTGTTTGTAATTGCAACAGTCTTTTTATATTGATTCAAGTGGTAGTATTATTACTCAGGACAAGTGTTATATTGCTATGCTAATGAAGACTGCTTGTCAAAATGCCGTCAGAGGTTTAATAAATATGTGTTTATTGCAGTAATTGAGATTACAAAACACAGCTGATGAAGTTGCAAAGCTGTTTTCAATGAAATCTGTGACGAGGACAATATAGTATATATAGGTCTAACTCCCATTCATCTGTTCCCTCTTCATAATGGCTTGCCCTTTTTTGGAGGATGTACTGGATGAGGAAGCCCTAATCCTCAGACGAGCATTTAGGCGTGAAAGAGTCTTCCGAGACAGGTCAGACCCATTGGCCTTTGGAGATGACTATCTCATTGAGAGATACAGATTCTTAGGTGATGGACTGAGATATTTATGTAGGCTGCTGGGTCCAAAAATTCAGCACCAGACAGCACGAAGCCATGCTCTCACTGTACCACAGATGGTCTGTGTTACATTGAGATGGTTTGCAAGTGGGAGCTTCCTTTATTCTGTTGGGGATGCAGAGAACCTCAATAAAGGAACCATTTGCCGCACAATAAGACGTGTTTGTCTGGCGCTGAAGTCATTCAGCAACATATTCATCACCTTCCCTGGCCACAGAAGACCCCTCTACATCAAGGAGGAGTTTTACAAGATTGCAGGTAAGCTCAATTTAAACGTGCAACCATTAGTTTCTAATTTGATCAGTCAGTTGGATACTCACTATTTTTTGTTTCAGCTTTCCCTAACATCATTGGTGCAGTGGATTGCACACACATAAGAATCAAACGCCCCTCAGGAGAACATGAGGGAGATTATGTTAACAGGAAATCCTTCCACAGCATCAATGTTCAGGTAAGAGTGATTTGTGCTTACTATGACCTGCATAAATTAATTCTGTGCATTAAATGACCTTAATAGGTTACAACTTAACATTTTAGATGATATGTGATGCTGACTGCCTTGTCAGCAATTTAGAGGCAAAGTGGCCTGGCTCAGTGCATGACTCCAGAGTCTTTCGGGCTAGTCCAATTTATGAGAGACTTTCACAAGGTAAGCCACACATTTTATTTGTGCTGTAAGCACCTTGGACATCATGTGTGTTTAACTCTGCCGTGTAGTTTTCTAAATGATATCTTGCATTATCAGGCGAATTCTCTGGTGTGCTGCTGGGAGACAAAGGCTACGCCTGCGAGTCATTCCTCTTGACTCCCCTTGCGGACCCCCAAACCCCACCACAGCAGGCCTACAACCAAGCACACAATAAAACAAGGGCTCGAATCGAGATGACCTTCGGCCTTCTGAAATCTCGGTTTCAGTGCCTGCACCACCTGAGAGTTTCCCCGGACAGGGCCTGTGATGTCATTGCTGCATGCGCAGTACTGCATAACATTGCAGGCCTGAGAAAGGAGAGGGTCCGTGTATGTTTTGGTCATTGGATTTTCCTTTCAGAAACGGGTATTAAAAAACAGAAAACGAGTGGTTATTTGATTTTCGTTTTAAAATACAAAAATTAAAATTGAAATACAAGGCGTTTTTCTTTTTCATGGTCAAAAAGGGATGAGCGAAATATAAAAAACGATTCGATTTTCAATTTCTATTTCATATAACAAAAAATAAAATCACTAGAAAACAGAAACGGAGAAAAGGCCTGTTTTTTCATATTCTGAGACCGGATGTTGTCATTTACAGGACGGTGCTGTGTAGAAGAAACAGTAGACTAGTAGACTGCGGTCAATCCAGCCGTGAGTTCGATCTCCGTGGTCAAATCAGCCGCACTTAAATTTAGTGTACAAGTATTCTCAGCATTATGGTAAATGCGGAGAAACAGCGTATTTACTTCCGGTTTTCAAAATAAAGGTATTAAGAACAGTAAGCTATCATTCGAACCTACATTTAAAATAAAATATGTTACATTAAAGTGTTTCATGCGCCTCTGATGGATAAAAAAACACGTTATATCAAGTATCTTTACTGCACCAGTGCTCAGTATTTCCAGGCTATGGGTGAAGCATTTTCATTATAACGTTACTTCAATAATGATGCAGTAATCATGACAAAAATCGTCTTATTTTGCAGCTCTACAGCTGTCACACTGAATCTGTAAAAGGGAAAAATAATTAGTTTTAACTTCAAAACACCATTGTACCTACTGTCTCTTCCTCATATATTATTTTTCCCTTTTACAGATTCAGTGTGGCAGCTGTTGCAGGTGGTTCCACATACAGTGCCTACAAATGGACACAGCAGAGCTGCAAAATAAGAAGCATGTGGACTGGAATTGCATTTTGTGTGAAAAGTAAACAAATTAGAATTGTGTAGGATTTTGTGTTTAGTGTTTATATTATCAAGATGTTATTAAACATTTGTGTGAAATTTTGTCATGATTACTGTATCATTATTGAAGTATAATGAAAATGCTTCACCCATAGCCTGGAAATATTGAGCAATATGTTTTTACAGTTACTCAAATATATGAAAATACCACATGGAGGTACAAATATGGACGACTTTTATTGTTGAATTTCTCCAAATTGGTACAGTAAAAATGCTTGATATTAAGTATGCTTGTAGTCTCATATGTGTAATAGTCAAATATACCATCCATAGCCAGGAAACACTGAGCAATATGTTTTTACAGTACCTCAAATATGGTCAAATATGCAATCTCTGGAGGCATAAATATGAGGCTTTTATTTTGGCATTTCTCCACACTGGTGCAGTAAAGATACTTGATATAAAGTGTTTTTATTCATCAGGGGCACAACACTGTAACATATTTGAATTATAGTTTACGGCTCTAAATACCTTTATTTTGAAAACCGGAAGTAAATACGGCTTTTCTCCGCATTTACCATAATGCTGAGAATACTTGTACACTCGAAATTTAAGTGCGGCTGATTTGACCACGGAGATCGGACTCACGGCTGGATTGACCGCAGTCTATTAGCCTACTGTTTCTTCTACACAGCACCGTCCTGTAAATGACAACATCCGGTCTCAGAATATGAAAAAACAGGCCTTTTTTCCGTTTCTGTTTTCTAGTGATTTTATTTTTTGTTATATGAAATAGAAAATGAAAATCGAATCATTTTTTTAATTTCGTTCATCCCTTTTTGACCATGAAAAAGAAAAACACCTTGTATTTCAATTTAAATTTTTGTATTTTAAAACGAAAATCAAATAACCACTCGTTTTCTGTTTTTTAATACCCGTTTCTGAAAGGAAAATCCAATGACCAAAAGATACACGGACCGGAGAGGCCCCCCGAGTGGCTGTTCATGTTGACTGGGAAAATGCTCCCATCTTCCCAGACAACATTAATGGCAGACTTGTCAGGGAGCAATATATTGCACATTTCTTCTCTTAATTTTTGGATTTAGCCTCTTTAGTTAATAAAATATCTTAAATGTTATTTTGCTGTGTTGTTTAGCATTGGAGATTCTTTTAAATTCTACTTCACATTCATGAAAAACGGAGGACACCACAATGTTTTCTAGTTGAATTTTTATTTGGCAGCCCTCATTTGCCTTGGTTGCTTGGATCCTGGAATAGAGAGAACAAAAGCAACAAAGATAAAAACGCTGTACGGCAGTTATGGTTACTGTGTGCACTGAAATACTCACTTCTCTTTCTAGTTTCTGGATTTCCAGGTCCAGTTTCCTGAGTGTCCGACGTTTAATTTCAAGATCCAGCTCCATTTCTTGGAGCTTTCTCTTCTTCAGTTTTATTTTAACATCTGCCAGCTCTATCTGTCTCTCCAGGTGCTTCGCATAAAGCCTTCTGACAGTTTGTGAAGTCTGTAAAAGAAATGTCAAATAAGCAAAGCAGGATTTGTGCATAATATAGATTTACTTTGGCCAATACTCACAATGTTACCGGGCTGCTTAGGAGACTGTGCATCATCTGTGTCCTGTTACACATATTTTCTATTAGCACCACATCACAGACTTCATATCCTTTATGGACAAGAAGGATATTTCCATAAAATTGACATACCTCAAGCCTTCTGGAGTCCAGTGACACAGTCTCCTCATCTGCAGAAGTGCATTCTGCAGCTGCAGATGTGCCTTCCCCCTGCCATATACATACATACATACATACATACATACATACATACATACATACATTTGAGAGAACTTGAATTAAGATTTCACAGGACATACCAAGCCTGTGATTTCAATACAATGTACTAACCGGATCATCTTCTGGTGGCTCCAAAAGTGTAAGCGTGTTCCCAGACACTGCAAGGAAATCTAAAGTCAGACAGTATAATAGATTTATTTGATTGTGGTCTGTAGTACGGCAATATGTACCTTGTATGAAGCGGACAGTTTCTGTGGCTGGGATAGAGTCCGTTACTGTCCCTCCCTGGATTCCCTCCATCACTGGCCTCCCTTTATTTAAATGGAGTGCCAGCTCCTCCGCCGGGGTCATATCCTGGCTTGGTGGGCCGCCCCCTGTGCCAGTTCTATGGTCTTTTTTTTTAACTGCTACAATCATACAGACATTCAACATGTGAGCAGACACCTAATATATTCACCTCATTTATTCACTGTTATCTACTTTATAGTCACTTACCAGCCTGCAAAATGTTCTTGTATTTAACTTTAACTTGCTGCCAGGTCCTTTTATGGCCAGACAAGTTTGTTCTTTATGAAGGATAGAAAGATAAAATAGATAAAAATAGATTAAATGACACACATTGTGGATAATTGTTTGCACTTAATCATACTCTACATTTAAGTAACATGCACCGCTAATTGCCACACAAGCAAAGTGTACAACAGTTGATTAGTGGACTTAAAGTAACTCCTTTAGTCCTTCAATTGGAGCCTAATTATGACAGTTCCAGTGGAGCACTGTTTATTCATTGTACAGTTTTGGACTACTTACGCATTAAGCCGGTCCGCTATTGTCTGCCAGGCTTTCTCTCTTTCTTTAATTATGGCACTGGTATTGCCTTTTTTTCTTATGGTATCTTTCACCTCTTCATAGAACTCCATCAGGAGATGTTGTTCAGCGGGCGTGAAATACGAAGCGCGTGTTTTATCCATGTTCCGATCGGTGTTTCTGTGAGCGATCGCGAGGTCTATTTAAGTATGCCGTGAACCCGCACTTATCCCGACTATCTACACCTGGCTTAACATAGCCGCACCTTTTCATCCTGGCTCGACAAACGTGCAACCGATTAAGCCAGGATGAGCCGAGCACGCTAAGTCAAGCCGCGCTTGCTCACTTATCCTGGATTTCTTTATCCTACTTTTGTGCAATACCCCATAGGTTTTTCCTGGTCTGTGGCGGAATTGTTTTCTGAAATAGCAAAATAGCACCAGGGAACGTTTGCGCCGGAACACGCCTCCTCTTTTCGCTGAACCGCCCCTCGGAGCGCAAGTTCATTCTCTAATTTAAGGACGTGCGACAAAGTCAATTGCGCTGAGTGCAAGATAGAGCCCTAAGTGTCCAACAACATTATGGAAAGGATCCCTACAGAGATAGATCCTGTAGATCCTAACCCCCTAACCCTAACCCCAAATAACCCACCCAACACCACAAAAATTGTTATTTTACCTAGTAGATCATTGTAACATAATGACTTCATTCAAAGTGGAGAGAAACAAACTAAAAGTGACCAAAACCATCTTTGTTGTCTTATCATTGTTCCAGCCATCACCTACTCTGCTTGGTGGAAATAAATCCTTAAATCACTGACATAGATGATAAAAACAGCAGTTTCAGTCACTTTACTTCACTTTACACGGAGCAGACAGGCTATGTAAACAAACCACAGAGTGATAGCAACACAAGAAGAGGGAGTGGGACACCATGACTCCACAATATCTTTACATAACTAATACGTGTTTGCTGCTATTTTAATGTTTTAAACTTCATATATGTAACCTTTATTTTGAAAAGTAATTAACACTAACAGTTGTTACAAGGGTCATTAAGACCAAATGCAGAAGTAAAACATGGAGCAGCAACATGTGTAACATCAGCCATAGGTCACTGACAGAAAGTTTTGTTTGTTGCTATCTTTGTCAGTTGGAGAAGCCTTTACTGCATGAGATGGAAAAGGAGTGAATTATGTGTACTATGAAGTATACTGTTAAAATGTTTTTCTATGCAGACGATGCTTAGTTCCCATACCAAATAGGATATATAATGCCAACATTGTCCAGGATTTTCCCTGTAATTCTCCTCCAAATTGGACATGCTTGAAATACCTTCAAAGGGAGGCATCCATCCCAGCCACTTTACTATTGGCCGTGCTTTGGAATTCTGTTAATGAAAATCACAAAAACAATTGGCGACACTTGTCAGAGAACATGTCTGACTCACTGCCTTTTCTGGACAAAACAGTACCCAGGTTTAAAGAAAGAAAGAAAGAAAGAAAGAAAGAAAGAAAGAAAGGGAGTTAGGGAAGCTAATGCTATGCTTCATGTATCATATTCCATCATGTCTTTGAGCCTTTCCATCTAAATTTCTCTTGTATGTGGTGCCTGAATTCTTTGGCCCTTACAATTCACCGCAGACATCAAGCACTGTGCAAAAAGATTCCTTCGGGCGAGTCGCAGCACGAGCAAACACACACACACACACACACACACACACACACACACACACACACACACGTATACACACAGATTCACCGTCTGGAACTATCGGGCATATCACAGGAAACAGGCCGATTAAGTAGCCTCAGAGAGAGAGAGAGACAGGAGCCAAACCCATGTGACTATATTCCCACAGCCACCATAACATGCACACACCGAAAGCCATGTTTACCCATGCAAAATACACATGCTAAACTTGTTTACCGAAATATGCCTTCAAAGGTACACCTCTTAATTGTTTAGTTTTTAAAATTTTATTCAGTTTTTAAGTTATTTGATTTTCTTACTCTCTCTGTGCATGCATACACACACACACACAGATACACACACACACACACACACACACACACACACACACACACACACACACACATACATACAGACAAACACATGTAGACCCTCCTTTTAGTTGAGGGGCTCTCATTAGCCCTGTGGCTCTGAACCAAGGAGGATTAATGTCACAGTGGCTTTTCATGATCTGCACAGAGACTGGTGTGTGTGTGTGTGTGTGTGTGTGTGTGTGTGTGTGTGTGTGTGTGTGTGTGTGTGTGTGTGATTGTGTGTTAGTGTGTGTCCTTCGGTTGGGGTTTAGTGGGCTACCTGATTGCAAACACAATCTGATTGCCCCCCAGAAGTGTTGGAAAGCTGCTTTGAGAGTCTAGTTGTTGGAATGCCTTTACATTGAATGAGTTTGAACTATTTACTTACTACTATGACAAATATACTGTAGCTTTGTTCATTCATGTTGCTAAGAGAATTTTAATTAATTGTACAATGAGAATTATATTGACATCAGAACAGCAAAAACAAATTATTAGTGCAAAAAAATCTGATTGGCTTTTTCTTTGATATGCTGAGGGAGAGTCTGCCTGCTGCCTCTGAAAAGAGCAAAAAAGCATTAAACTTCTAATTCCGTGACTCATTTCCATTAACAGTCCGAAAAGGCAAAAGTACACCTTCTGTGGACACATCATACACTGTAAGAAAACAATGTAAACTATGTCAACATAAAAACATACTATTGCTGCCTGAATGTGAGTTAACCCAACTAAAAACCAAACCAATGAGATCTAAACAGTGGATGGTGAAAATGTGGCTTCAAACTGGATAAAAAGTCAATGTATGGCAGCTTCCTGCAGACAATCACGAAGGGGATATGTGAGGCAAATGGTGAAAAGCAGCATTACCTGAATAAAATGCCAGATTGATTGACTGAATGATTTATCTGTTTCTGCCTTCCATTTGGTATCTTTCATTCAAACTAGTGCTGTCAAACGATCAAAATATTTAATTGCGATTAATCGCATTAATGTCAAAGTTAACTCGCAATTAATCGCACATTTTTATCTATTCTAAATGTCCCTTGATTTCTTTTTGTCCCATTATTTTTTCTCATTTTAATGCTCTTATCAACATGGACAAGTGGATCGGCTTGCTTTATTCAAATGTTGTTTTTATTGAAAACAACATTGGCATATACTGTAGTGTTCAATTTCACACTAACATTCTCACTTGGAGCAAATAATCTCTCACACAATGTAACACTGCCCATCAATAAAAGGGTGAAAAAAATACTTTGTCACAAAAACAGCCCCTTCAACAGCCCTTTCTAAGGGATCAAAACAGGGTGATACAAAATAAAATTACAAAGTGCACATGTAAGGTAAACTAGGACTCAGCCTATAGTGCAGTTAAACCATGGCTTAATACTTTTCTCAAGTTTGCTTTGAACATAGCAGTCAGGCTACTGCTCTTTATTCACCAGAGGCTCAACCCAGCCTCTTATTTCAGAAAGAATGAACAGTAACGGTAACCAATAAAAGGTAAACCTACTACTTCTTTGCTTTGAGCCAGTTACTCAAACAGACAAGCCTGTTGACAACAAGGAATCCATCCATTTCGGCGTCCCGCGCTCACCATCCACTCAAACCATAACGTCTACTACTCTTAAACAAGTGTATGCGGCGTGCCTGTTGTTTTGTTTCCGGTCTAGCTAGATCTGGTGTGGTGTTGTAGTTTTTCTAACGTTACTAGTTGTTGCAACAGCATGTGAAAAAAAAGTGTGCTAGGCGTTAATCTCGCGATAAAAAAATGTACGCCGTTAAAATGGGTTTGCGTTAATGCCGTTAATAATGCGTTTAACTGACAGCACTAATTCAAACTGCAAAAAAGAGGGATCTCTGGAAAGTTTGAACCTTGAAACCATATATAGTGTAAAAGCAGGAACAGAAGGTTGAAAAAACTTGCAGGTGTAACGTTTCCACATTAAAGCTACAGTAGGTAATTTCTATATACTTTTTTTGGACATGTTTGCTGAAATATTCACTATATTCTGAAAGTAGTACATGAGACAGATAATCTGTGAAAAAAAAAGGTTCCCCTGGCTTGTTCTAGTGCTTCTAATGGCATTTGCAAGAATCCGCTGGGCCTGAACGAAAACAACCAATCAGAGCCGAGTCTCATTCCCAGAGTCCCAAAGCCTCTGTATTTAACAATCAGGGAATGAAACTCAACAATGAATCTTTCTTATATGGAAAGAGATATGTCTCAATATTATTTGTATATGCAAACACCGCAATCCACGCGTATGATATAATTTGCAAAGGCAAAGTCAACATTTGTGACTTGTTGATTTAATTTGCAAGCGCAAAGTCAAAATTCGTGACTTGTAAATTGGTATTTGCACAAAGGTGTAATGATTTATTCAAATATTTTGAAACCTGCAAATTAAATCATGCCAATTTGTAAAAATATATCACGTCTCGCATGTGCATCTGTCTTGAAATTTCATTTGCGACTCCTACATTCCGTGTGTGAAGTGTTGAATCTGCGTTTGCAGATCATCCAACATGCACATTCATCCCTGCTTCCGCTTTCCGCTTTTGAGACATTCCTTTTTTCCTTTTCCGACCTTATCCATACGCGAAGGTCTTAACCCATGCAAGAGTGACTGCAGACCCGCAGACTTTAATGTGGGCGGAGTTAAACGTTTGACCCCGCCCACTGCCCAACTCATTTGATACGGTGTCCGAAGAGGGACAAGAAACCATAATGAATGTGGCGAAATGCAGGGATTTAAACACAATGAATTTAATCTTTGGTTTTACTAATTATGAAATAACAGATTAACTCTCCAACATTTCACTCCGCCGTCACCGTGATGCTTCCTGTTCGGTCTATTCCTCCTGTCTCCTTCCACGCTTCTGACTGCCGCTTTGGTATCATAAATAATGGAAGTAAGTATGACTTTTATAATATTGTTCATGTAATTTTAGGTGTATTGTTAAGTTATGTGAATTAGCTGCACATGAGCTAATGTTATATTTAAACTAACGTAATACTAATATCAGAGTGCATTCGGTGGTATATGCACTGTAATGAGACTAATCAGAGTACAAGAAAAAAATTTAATGCATAGTCAGTATTTTGTGACTTTGTAATCATGTTTTTTTTTTTTTTATGTATAGAGACACATTACAGTGATACGTGGGGATGACCTTCCCAAATCCACAAAAAGCAGTCCCCTGTCATGTCCGTTTTGCAAGTACAGTGCATCTGCAAAATATCAAGTGGACAACATTAAGGGCCATGCCTCAGTGAGGCACAAAGGTAGTACTTTTGAAATGTAGTTATTGAATACACTGTAATTAAGGGCTGCGCGATATGACCCCCACTGCCCTCATCGTTCATACTTTATATTAACATGTACAGTAAATATGCTCTATGAATATAACAGTGACATTCTTTTTGTTATTAAGAGCATATCTTGTCTTTTTGATTTTAAAATCACTTGTATACAACTCAGAGATAGGATGCTTTATGAGTCTCTGGTCATAGTTTGTTATTTTGCTACATGTATTTATATAATATGGTATTATAATAAAGTCATTATGCATGGTTTCTTTTCAGTTTTACTTAAAGTTCCTTTATGCATATATTCAGCCTATATTTCTCTGGACTATGAGTAACTTACATGAAACAATTTCACATTTGTGTCTGCAAAACAGATTGATGCGTTTGATGTCTTTAATGTTTGACTATTGCATATTGATTGTATTTTGATTGTATTTGTTCATTAAATGAACAAGGGGGGGTGTGTAGTAGAGAAATAATATTCATTATAGTTTCATATCCACTTTAGTCTTTTGAAAGAAAACCTGTACTCTTTGCATGCCTTGGTGTAAACAATGTATCTCTCATAGTGTTCATAGTGTGTGAAAGTGCTACGGACCGGGTTCCCCTCAGGCACTGATAAGGCGGATATGGGAAACTTTCTTCAAACTTTGTGTAGATGAAGAAAACTTGAAAATCAATGCCATGTTCCTCTAAGAGTCTGATATCATATGATCCGTACCCCAGACCCAGACCAGTACATGTCCACCCAATTTCAAAAATTATTATTATGATGATTGTTATAGTTCTTATTGTCATTATTATTGTTGTTATTATTATTATTATTTTCATAATTATTGGCGTTATTAGTATTATTATCATCATTATTATAATATCATTATCATCATTATTATTATAATTTTTGTCATTATTATTATTATTATTATCATTTTTGTCATTATGATCATCATTAATATCATTTTAGTATTTCATTAACATTTTTACTGTTTGTCTGCTTGTTTTATGTTAATGTTTGTTGTTAAATAATTTGTTATTCAATAAAAAAAAAACAGTCCAGTGATCCCTTTAATTTTGATAACATTAAGAGAATTTCTCAGGTTACATTTGATTATGATAAATACACATTAAAATATATTACTTTTTTCATCATTTATGAATAATTAAGGTAATATTATGTTTTGATAGGTAGTTAATCTGTTATTTCATAATTAGTAAAACCAAAGATTAAATTCATTGTGTTTAAATCCCTGCATTTCGCCACATTCATTATGGTTTCTTGTCCCTCTTCGGACACCATATTAAATGAGTTGGGCAGTGGGCGGGGTCAAACGTTTAACTCCGCCCACATTGAGGTCTGCGGGTCTGCAGTCACTCTTGCGTGGGTTAAGACCTTTGGTATGGATAAGGTTGGAAAAAGGCGAAAGGAATGTCTCAAAATGATGTAAGCGGAAGCAGGGATGAATGTGCATGTTGGATGATCTGCAAACGCAGATTCATCACTTCACACACGGAATGTAGGAGTCGCAAATGAAAGACAGATGCACATGCGAGACGTGATATACTTTTACAAATTGGTATGATTTAATTTGCAAATTTCCAAACATTTGAAAAAATCATTACACTTTTGTGCAAATACCAATTTACAAGTCATGAATTTTGACTTTGCATTTGCAAATTATATCATACGCGTGGATTGCGGTGTTTGCATATATGAATAATATTGAGACATATTCATCTCCATATTCTTATCTCTGATTGGAGCCGGAGCTGTTTTTTTCGCAGATTATCTGTATCATGTTCTACTTTCAGAATATAGTGAAAGATTCAGCAAATATGTCCAAAAAAAAAATATAGAAATTACCTACTGCAGCTTTAATGTGGAAACGTTACATATTATAGCTTTAACCTGCTAGTTTTTTCAACCTTCTGTTCCTACTTTTACACTACTTCATATTCACACAACTTCCTCTGTGTTTCTCTAACTGTGTTAACTTTTTTTTTTTATCAGCTCTGTAACACAGTAGGTATCATATAGATTTGTCCTGTTCTCGGCTCCAGGCAGGTGGGACCCTGAACAGACAGACACTACTCGGCCTTTTGGCCAGAGGGGATCCAGCCGGCGTGGGGAGTAAAGAAAGCGAAGAAAAGAGAAATTCGACTGAGGATTTTTTTCCAGGTGTTGCATGCGGCTCCGCCCACCAGCCGTCCGCCCCCCGTCCCCCCCGGGTCTTCCAGGCTGCAGGCAGCCGATCAGTGGGAGGGGGGCTGGGCTACAGACAGCTTTCTCGGACTGTGAGGACGCGCACAGCACCGAGAGGACAGCTCAGTTGGCGCCCAGCCTGCACACATCAGTCCGGCTACTCCACTGTACGGAGCAAGTTCTTTTGCAGGGTTCACTTCTCTTTCTCTGACTCGGAGCGGCACCACGAAGCCTTCTGAACGCAGACAGGATGTCTGTTTCCGTCAATGACCACCTCGAAGGGATTTTATCAGATTTTGAAGGTATGTCAGCTGTAGTATTGAATGACTTTACTGCTGCCTGTTTTGTTGGCACGTAATAAAACCGAATGTGGGACCGCAGCTCCAGGCTGTTCAGAAGAAAGAGAACTCCTGTCTGCTTTATAGGGCTGAATACAGAAGTTTCTTTTTAAGCAGTTTTAACAGAAAATATACACTAAAATATACCATGTTAGGCAGCAAACTACGTATCACCTGCAATAAAATCTGATTGATTGTTAAATATCAGTCAATTAATTTTTTTTATGTAAATAGGCTATTATTACTCTTCTATGGCAGTAAACCGAACATTTGGTGGTTGGTTAAGCTTAAATCATTGGCAAAAATAATTTTCAGATTAAAGCTGCAGTAGTCAACTTTTAAGTTTAACTCTTGTCATATTTGCTAAAACTTTCCCTATATCCTGACAGTAGTACATGAGACAGATAATCTGTGAAAATCAGGTTCCTCTGGATCCTACTAGTTCTCCTAATGGCATTTACAAGAATCCATGGGCATGGACGGAAACAACCAATCAGAGCCGAGAAAGATAGTGGGTATCTGAGTCTCATTCTCAGGTCATCCAATACAGACGCTTTGGGACTCTGTGAATGAGACTCAGATACCCAGTACTCAGTACTAATACAATATAATTGATTAATTGATTGAAATTGTTAGTTTGTGAGAGGGTTGCATTGGTATACAATACCATGGTATACCTGATATGAAAATTGACTTCAGTTGCTTATGTACAGTAGGGATGGAAGGATATACAATATTATTGCATGTTACAACAAAAAACACTTCTTTTTTTTTTCACATTGTCCCATGCCTTATCTACAGTAACAGCGTGTTAACATAGAAATATTATTATAAAATCCTTCTGTTTTCATAGCTTTGAGCGTCATTGTAACTGACCATGATAGTTATAATTGTGAAATATTATTATACCATGAAACTGTGATATATGTTGTGAAAATATCAACCCATTAGTTAGTGTATAGACTAGCTAAAATAAGACAGCAGCTCATGTTTGGTTGGTTTGGTGTGCCTGAGTGAGACTTGAAGTATGATTTTTGGAGTCCGGTGTGAAACAACCTGGACAGGTAGAGAGGAGCACTAATAACACAGTGTAAGCAAAGCCTTGAAAAGCGTTCTGTGTGTGCACACTGGGGCTCCTGTGTGTGTGTGTATGTATGTGTGTATGTGTGTGTGTCTGTGTGTGTGTGTGTGTGTGAGAGAGAGAGAGAGAGCGAGAGAGAGCGAGAGAGAGAGAGAGAATAAGTTCATCGCATCAGCAGACAGAAGTATCTATTAGAAGCAGTAAGTTCAGCTCTGTGAATCAGCTGGCTTGTGCTTCAAAGACAGTCTCTGTTCGCCCCACAATAGACTGAAGACCCACAATTTGAGAGGATGTTGTCCTGAGGAATACCTTATTTTTGGGTTTGAAAGGTTTGAAAATAATAGAGTCTTTACAGTCAATCAATGATCAAACTAGGATCAGTATAAATTGCAATCAGTAAAAACTGCCACACCTCTTGTTGTTCCAACTTCCAAAAAATTTGATAAAAGTTATTTACATTTTATAATTTTCTTTGTCTAAATCTCACCAAACCTTAAAGGGATAGTTCACGTTTTTTGCATCCTCTGTGGCTGTAAATGAAGCCAACATCGAAGTAACAAAAACTGCAGTTCCTCTGATGGCCACTTGAGGTTGGCTCCAGCAGTAAGTCAAACTCCATAAGGCCCCATATTAACACCCCAACTTTATAGCAGAAATAAACATGTTTACAGCCTGGTACAAAAAACAGTTTTGGTCTTTATAGCTAATTTCCCCATTCGGGACAACTATATAATTATATTAAGACTTAAAGTTATATATAATTCAGTTCTCCCATAAAGTTGTGATGTTGCAAAAATAAACGCAAATTCAACAATCCCTGTGAATTCTGAGTAATCTCAGAAATCAAACTTCATCTTTTGAAAAATGGTGCATGCTTGTATTTTTGTAATTGTGATATTATTTTTTATTATGAGGCTAAAATGCTTTTTTCTGCCTGATCAGATCAGATCACAACATTGATTTCAGAAGGCATGGACAAACAGCATATTTTGTAGTATAATTTGGAGGGCTTGATATTTTTCACTCGTTTTTTGGCCTTCTGCTCAGTCCCTCAGTCGCCTCTTACTGTTTTGTCACTTATTTGGAATTTCAGTTTAATCCATCACAGGATACACTACTACTGCTGTCAGTGATGTTTATGATATTTTTCTAGACCTTTTTAAAACACTGTAAATCAGACAAAGACTATGCAAAAACACAAAGTAAGATCTTTGATAAGTATGAGTGTCTTTAGTGTGAGGACAGTGAGAGAGGGAGAGAATGCCAGAATGAACACGCTTTGTTCTTCCTCAGGGCAATCCATCATGTCCTTGGACCCTGCAGGGACGTTACAACAAAAGCTGCTCTCTCTCCTTTCATTCTAACTTTCTTCTGACATTCTTCTGTTTAGACAGGTGTTGATCTGTGCCTCTAAACTAATTTTTGGCCACACACCCCCACTGTAGCTGCTTTTTGACACTTCAAACCACTGTCATAGCACAGTCAGGGCCTTTACACTGATAATATGCCAAGCAGCAATAAATTAATCAAAACAATCCATCAAACCAAATAAAACAATAAATAAATAGTTCATTTTAATGAAGAAACATAATTCACTCTGACCTTAACAATCATACAGGCTCCATGCTTATGTGTCTGACATGTGATTACCTCCCTGAGTTATCCTCTCTTAAAAAAGTGATCCTGTGTGGAGGAGGAGGCAGTTAACCCAGTTCCTCCAGCAGTTTGGTCTGGGCTGAGAGCCCCAGTGGCAGAAAATCATCAGATGTGACGGATCTAAATTTGATTTGGAAACAGGGGAGCGATTGTTGATGCTGGGCTGACCAGCCAGCTGTGGAATGCTGGGTGAAAGATGGTGCCTCATCCCCAGCACCCACGTCTGTTTTAATCAGATGGATAGGAGTCACTATCTACAGGCATGTGATTTAAGAAACCGCTAAAAAGTATTTTTGTGTGTCTCTACCATAAAATAGTCCCGGCATTCAAAACTTCCAGTAGATGTAATTTCGGGTTTCGCAGAATCGTCCAATATAAATTCCTTGAATTTTGTTAACACAGTGGATTCTGTTAAATGTGTAATTACCTTATTTCCCAGTGTCATCGCATGTTAGCCAAGTGTGAATCTATTGTAATATCACCCATTGGATTGTGGAGTACCACTTTGAAGTCTCAAGTTTGTTACCATGTTGGTTTTTTGCAGCCAGCAGTGGTGCCTACAGTACTGCAAGCTGAGCTGTGCTTGGTTTCAACTCACACACATTCCCATATTACAGAAGATTTGAGGATAGGAATAAACAACACAGGAATGTTGATTCATATTTGATCAGCATGGCCTAGTTTGACAGTTTGATCTGAAGTTGGTGCGTTGAGCTGGACGGACTCTGAGAATGACTTGTCAATCACAAGGTAGCCACACCCTAAAGCATTCCCTACTTTATAGTCTATTTTACTCTAAATGGGACCATAATTTACTAAATGAACATCATGCTGTATGGTAGAAGACTTGAAACTAAAGATTGAGACCATAAACGCATTAGGAAACTGTTTACTGAGTTAAAAAACCAAGTGAGAAGTAGACTTATTTCTCCATTCCATTAAATTAAACTGCACGTCTTTTCCATCCAATGGAGCTGCCCCCTGCTGGCCAGTGAAAAGAATGTAGGTTTAAGATTCTTCCGAATTGGCTTCACTTCTCAGACCCGGAAATATGATCCGCTACTACGTTATTTATTAGACCCTAGTACTTCGCAGCAGTGTCCAGTCTGACTCTGATTGGCTAGGCACTGGCAACTGCTGTTTCAGAGGGGCGAAGTTGATTTTCAGTCGCATACCTTCAAACAAAATTAAAACTGCAAGCAGTGATGATTGGGCCCTCGCACTCCACGCAACTCGGGGTGTGCTGTGGCTGCATCGCGACATGAAAATTGGCACTCATACGCGTTTAGGCCAGGGCTCTGCCCAGAATCTGTACTGCAGTTAGGTTTAGCAGTAGGGTTTCCATTGTCATGTCAAGGCTGATTTTTGAAGGCACGCCGCGGACACACCGTTTAACCGTATGAACAAATTTTAATAACGTAAAATCCTGAACTTCTCTGGATTGTATTCACCTATTCTGAAGTTGTGCTGATAAAGTCACTAGGAGGAGTTTGTTAAAATGGAAGCCCTGAAATTGTCGGAAATGCGACACAGTTTGACATTCGATTCAAAGTGGCCCACATGCAAGCCGTTCGACATGCAGTCACAAATAGCACAACTTTTAATCAGCAATGTTTTTTAACTGTACTGATCAATTTTATAGTAGATCCGATAAATTCTCCAGGAGAGGTTTGATCAAATACAACGCGAAAAACCGCTGAAAATAACCACTGAATTCAAAATGTCCGGCTTCCTGTCGGGTTTGGATGGTCTTAGAGGCTTTTTTGCTTGTCTGATCATGATACACATGCGTACCAATTTTTGTACATGTCGGTCATACGTGTCTTGGGGGCTGATTCTGGGGTGCGTGGCTAAGCCATTTTGCAACGCCCATGTATGGGACCAAGACAATAGGTTAGCGTTCGCCACAACTGAATTTTGTGCAAAGTTTCATGAGTTTTTGGGCATGTTTAGCCCCCCAATTTTTTTTTACAAATGTTAACACGAAAGCTGATTTTTGCCCAACGCTATGGCAACGTGGTTCAGCAAAAATTCTTTAGATTCATAAGATGTCATTGTCATCATCTTAAGAGACTTCTGACAGAATTTCAGCTGGATCAATCTGCTGGGAAAAATACATAAAAGTATAAAAATGACATTTCCGTACGGCACTAGATGGCACTACCTTTTTTCCTGAATATTGTCACATAGATGTGTTCAGGGCGAGACTCTTATCAGACACTTGAAG